GGCCCGTGTGTGGAGTCTGGCAGACCCTTTAAAAGGGGGGGGGGGGGGCTCACGTCAGCCAGGAGGAGGGCTGTCCCTCTGGAGCCGCTGGTGGGCTCGGCGGTGGAAGCAGCTGAGGGGCGGAGGTCAGAGACCTCCCTCAGAAGGGAAGGTGGACGTGCTGGCTGGCCTGCACTCTCTTAGTTGATGACCCGGGGTCCTCCCTGCCGTGCCCGAGGGCAGCCCGAAACTAAAACGTCTTCCAGGAAAGGAACAAGTGAACAGCAGAGCCATAAAAGGCTTCCGTCTGTGAAGCCTGCCCTGCCCTTCATTTTTCCAGCTGCTGAACGCTGCCATTTGGGATGGTTCCTCAATCCGGAGCTTCCTGGCAGGGCGTTTATTACACTCAGCCACCCGACGCCCCTCCTTCCAGAATGCTTTGGGAACACCTGCTGGGGGCCTGCTGAGCTCATAGCCCGTGAGGAGGGGAGGCAGGGTTTCTGGAGCACAGGTCAGCCGCAGAGGGGAGGGTTCGGTCACTTGCGGACGAAGAGGAGGCAGGTGCCGCCCCGTGGTTCCAGCTCTCTCCAGGGCATTCCCGGGGGCAGGGGGCCGAGTGACACAGCAGTAGCTGCTGCCCTTCAGCCATCCTGGGGTGAAGGCGGCAAGAGCCGGAAGACCCTTGGCTGGGTTGGCGGGGATGGGGGAGAGGGTGTGATAGGTGATCCCCAGGGTCGCCGTCTGCTCCAGGTCGCTGGCGCGGGGGACATGGGGCCAGCTCTGCCTTCCGGGGAGCCATCGATGAGGTGCGCCACGTCTCTGCTGCCCACCAGCACGTGGCACAGAGGCACGGGGACACGCCTGGCCCACAGCCCCAGCTCTCCCGTCCGCACACAGTGGCCTGTCACTGGAACCGCAGTCTGCTAGCCGAGCCCTGGCCCCCACCCACAGACGCCTGCTGGGGAATGTGAGGACCTACTGTAACCCACCAACAGGATGATGAGCTCCTGAATAATCGAGCATTTGAGAGTTTGTTTTATTGCTATTGTTGCCGTTAGGAGTAACAGCCTGCCCTCATGGTAGGAGAGGCCAACGTGACTAATATTTAATGGATGATACAAAAAAGCACAGCTTTTTTTTCCTGGATCTCGTTTACGGAAGATTTCACTAAACAGTTCAGTACCGTTCACTAGGACCTGGAGCCCGCAGTGGCTCGGCCTGGGGGATCTGAGTGAGTGAGAGGTTGGCAGTGCTCTCAGTAGCGCCGGGCTTCGGTGCCCTGCGGGCTGGTGGTGGCTGGACGTGCTCTGTGGTGCAGTTGTGGAAACGCTTTCCGGATGAGGTTGTTCTCACATCCATGCAGACTGCCTCCCAGAGAAGGAGAAGGCAAAGGGCTCTCTGGCCGTTGTGCTCCTTTACCCTCCCGAGGCAGGGCACAGGGCTGCTTTGTCTGAGGGCCGAGCCCAGAGTTGACAGGGGGGCTGCATCAGCAGAGGACCTGGGGGGGCACACATCCTGACGTACTTCGGGTGCGGCAGCCCTGTGGTGCAGCTGCCTCCCGGGTCCCCTGGCAAGGGCTGGGTCCTCTGTGTTGTGTGATCCCATCTCCCGGAGGCAGCCTCCTGGTCCTTGCCCGCCGGGCCCCAGGAGCCTTTGGCACTTGGGTGGAAGCCCGGGGCCCGTGTGGCAGGCAGTGCCAGGCTGCCCTGCCATCTTTGGTTTTCTTCAAGGCTCGCATTTCTTTTCTTTCCTCTTTGCAGGGAGGGCTGTGTGCTTGCTGTTTCCCCTCGTGGGTCCCGTCTTAACGAAGGTCTGAAGATAGATCTGGCCTTTAGTCGAGATCTTTCCCCAGATTCTCGGTGGGTTCTAGACAAGGAATGCCCCCTCCTGGTGAGGGGCTGAGCCGGCCTGCCTTTCTCTAAGGCTTTCTCCTGACCACCTGCCCTCGGTGCCTAGGAGTCCCTGTCCCACACCTGCGGTGCTGAGACCTCCCAGGAGCTGGTTCCCAGCAGCCCATGTCCTTCTTAACCTACCCTTTGGAGAGTCCCGGTGGACACCATCGTCAAAGAGCCCCATACTTGTCAGCAGTACCTCAGGTGTTCGCTGGCAGAATTTCCTGTGCCAGCAGCAGTTAGAGGGAACTGCTTGGTGGGCTCTCATCAGAGCATCTGATAACGAGGAGGGAAAACTGGAACCTTGATGCTTTTCGTTCCCAATGTCCAGCCACTCTAGGTGCCACCCGTACCCCAATTCCGACACAGACTTCCCTTTGGATGCCACAGCCCATGGAAGAAGCGTCCATTTCTTCCATGTGTTGTACTGCAGGGGCCAGATCTGGGTTTCTGAGGAAACTCTTGACAGTCACTTATGAGATTGTGATTGGAATTCTGTGGAAGCGAGACCCCCCCCTTCTCATGGGTAGGTGGTCCACCAGGTACAGGCATTAGATAGCCTGGGGGGCTGACCGTTGAGGACCTGTCTATCTAGGATTTAATAACCTCGGGCCGTTGGCATCATTTAAAACCCGGGCTCTTGCTGAAGAGCCGAGGGGCCTTTTCGCAGGCAGGGGTGCAGCGCACTGTGGCCGCATCCTGGCTGCCAGCGTGTGCCCCGGAGCTGGGGGGCCATCTCCATAGATACCCACTGTCCTGTCCTCCTCTTGCCTCCTCTGGGGACCTTTATCCCCAGAAGGCAGTTTTCAGAAGTGGGTGGTAGTTTTTACTTCCAAGAGTTTTCCTCCTGACTGCTTCCTCTCGCTGGAGCAGTGGTGAGTTCTCTCTCCCCTATGGGACTATGGCTACACTCCCCCCAGGGTGGTCCTTAGAGAGAGAGAGAGAGAGCCCGGGCTGGACAAGGTGATTTCCACTTAACACTGCAAGGGCCCTTTTTGGCGAGACAGTGCATGCAATTCCTACCTGTCATCACTGTTAAATTCTAATAAAGATAAAAGTATTTCATTTCAGAAGCGGGAGGGCCCGCATACCTCAGATGCATAATCTCGGCACGGGTCGGATTTCCACCTGCCTCTCCCTGGACAGACTTATCAGATAGCACCACCCTAATTGTGTGTTCTCTTTCTCCCCACCCTCCCTTGTTGCTCTCCCTCCCGCTCCCACCCCACCTCTGTTTCTGGATGTTTGGAAACTGCAGAACTCTGTCGGGAAACAAGATCAAGTCCGTGGCTAAGAGAGCGTTCTCGGGGCTGGAAGGTCTGGAGCACCTGTGAGTACCTTCCCTGACCCACAGGCCTGGCAAACGTGGCTGCGGGGGAAGTCTATGAGCAATTTAAAAGCATCTTTGTAAACTGAGAAACAGGCTATTTGGAAACGCCAGCTGCTGCCTTCTAAGTCAGCTTCAACTTTGGCCTTCGTTTTGCCTATGCCAGGAACGGTTACAGAACATACGGCCACTCGGTGTTCAGATAAATACCGTCCTGCTGCCTGGCCTCCCCATTGCCTGGGCCTGCTCAGGCCCTGGGCTCCCTTCCACTTCCACCAGGACCCTTTATACTGCTAAAGCAGCGCAGCAGTGCTGAGTACACGTTGGGTTTAACTGGGAGGTTCCTCCTGGTGTGTTTGCCTCTGAGAGCCTGAGAGGAAGAGGACGGAGCCACAGCCCCGAGACGTCCGTGTGTCACCAACTGAGGCGGATGCCTCTAGTACTTGATTCTTAGGGTAATTTTTCTTTGAATCAAGTGCGACCACAATTCTGTTGGGAAAGTTTTGCCTGTTGACTTGCTGAGCGGGCCTTTGCTTAGCTTTGATGCCGCCCTTAAGGCTGGCTCGTTCCAGAGTTATTCCACGTGTCAATGTAGGTGAAATAATAGCCGCTTACAGTGGCCTTAGGACAGGACACGGGTGTCTGGCTAGTGCCTGTGGTTCATTGGCAAAGCCTGGGCTGTCAGGAAAAATCCCTGAGCGTCGTGGCTCCAACA